TGGAGAAAGTGTTACTGATTCTAATTATTAGCTTGGGTACTAATTGAGGTATAGAATAGAACCAACACACTTGTGCCACTAGGTCCTGTTGGAATAGGCCCAACAGGCCCAACACCCTACACCTAAACAGGGCTGTGTGCAGCGGGCTTGGGCTACCACCCTATAGCCCTAGCTGTAGGAGCATCGGTATAAACATACCCACGTGATCAGTGCCACGTGGGCCAAGGGAGTGCTCACACGTACAGACACATGTCAGCACCAAGGGGTTATAAATACCCCTCCAACTACCTCCGAAGGAAGTAATTAATCTCTACGCTTCTCTCTCTGCAATTACTCTTTGAGAGCATCTTTCTCTAGAATATTGAGTATTGAGTATTGCTGACTTGAGCGTCGGAGTGTTTTCCCCGAGGAAACAACCTCGGGATTTTCAGGTGTGGAAGCAGTTAAGGACTTCGACAGTGTTGAACTTCGAAGCTGCCGAAACAGGTCCAATATGAGAAATTTATATATAGAATATATTTAAGGAAATTTTTAACTTGTGCATTTGGCACATATTAAAAGTATATTTATTATTTTTTTGTTGTTAAGTTACATAAAAAAATAAAAATTGATTTTAATTTTATAAATCATTTAATTAAATTGTTTTGCATATCAAAATAAAATTTATTTTATAATATTTTATATAAATTAATTAAAAAAAAAACCCTTACTTTTAAAGTATAAATTAGAAAAACCTAATATTTAATGACAACTTTATCCTTTTATTGTGCATAATCTCTTATTGCAAATACTATGGGGTAGTCGTTTTTGTTGTCCTTTTCTTGTCGTTTTGCTTTTCATTATCAAGGTAAACATGTTTTATTAAACTCGATACCGTAAAAGAGATCGTAAGAGAGTCAGCTTTCTTTATAGATATGATGTTGGTTTGTATTTATGAATGGATTTGGTAGGTGGCGATGTAGTCATGCCACCCATTGATTTTATTTTCATTATTTGTGTTACTCTGCATTATATTGGATGGACTTGTGATCTAATATATCTATTCCGTGGAGCAAATAATTAAATTAGAACCAAAAAATTATTGATGAATCCATTTGAAATATATATATATTAGCTGGTGAAACACTACCATATCTGATCTATTAATCTATTTTTTTAAAGAAAATACATATCACGTCTTAAATCAAAAAAGAAAAGTGTTGATTAGGGTGAACAACTTAGTTAATTTAACAATAATTTTTTTAATTAATAAAAAAAAATTTGAGTTTAATTCATATGACATATAAGTTAGATAAATTAAAGAATAAAAGAGATGTATCTCTTGTTATACAACTCAAGATAAAAAAAAAAAAAAAATCAATGGGGTTTTCTAATATTCACCTTAGATTTCTTTTTTTTTTTTTTCTTTTTT